GGTATCAAACGGCTCGGAGAGGTCCTTCCCTATTCTGACGGAGCTGGTGGTATTGCTCAACGTCATTTTACACAGCCGTATTAGTTTCGCGGGGATACCAAATTCAGACATCGCGGCATAAAGGCAACTTCTCTTCGTGCTGTCGAAAGCGGCTTTGAAATCGACAAATAGATGGTGCGTGTCGATCCTATTCTCGCGGGTCTTTTCCAAGATTTGGCGTATTGTGAATACCTGATTCGCTTGTCATTATTGACTGTGCATATGTACCTATGACAACAGTTGATGACACGATAATGACAATTGAACTGTAACAATTGACGACTGTGACAACACGCGACTAGGGCTGTTATTCCCTTTTCGCCCTAGTTATTAGTCATCGCTGCAGCAGAGACCAGTAAACGGAACAATGCAATACGAATGACGAAGTCCCGTTGCGATGGAGAAAATATAAAACAAATAATATTTGATACCTGCACACAAATACATTTCGGTACATACATACGTTTGAATATACACATACATATGTACCTACATTCATATGCACTCGTATCTTGAACGAGGAAATAAAATATCTCACCAGGAGCTTTCCAGAGCCGATTCATTCAAATCTGAAAAGCAAAACAAATACATTCATATAATGTAGGGGAAAATGAGACAAAATTAGCTACATATGTACTATGTATTGTATAAAAAATCGACGTCTTCGCATTTTTTCTGCATCTCTGCAAAAATCGCGACTATTCCATGGCACTCATGTAAAGAGTATTCCCTAAGGGTACTCCAAAATTACCTAAAATGCTTATAAAAAATGTGGCAATGATGGTTTACAATAAGCTGTTATAGAGATACGCTTTGGTCCGCTACTGCACTAGAGAGGAGCATTCCAACATGGCACAAATGGACCACATAGTCCAACGATTTTTGCAGTGATGTGAAGCACAATCACAAACAATCTTTTTACATACATATGTACATATTTATTTATGAATGCAAAGTATTCGATGGTGTGGTCTAGTCTGGCATGCTCGTCCATCGTTTGATCACTTTGTTGGACAGTATATTCATACATACATATTTACATCAATAAGTCGATAGCCTGACAATTCGACTAACTTTACATGGTAAAGTGATGGCGAAAAATTTGCAATGGCGAAACGTGATTTTGACCAAACAAAATATGTACATATAAAAGAGCGGAACGTACTCGCGTTGGCATAGCAGCGATGACGAAGACGACAACACAACCAACCACATACCATAGCAACAACACATACATTTCAGCCGTGCTAAATGTCCGACCAGACGTGGCAATGCAAATAGTTTCGAAAAGTTTCTCAAACTCAGAATTTTGAAAAATATTTGCGGCAGCAGCCCCTCTATGCATCCAAAGGCATTTTCCAGAATAGGTTATAATTTCGATTGTCGATATTTTATACAATATTACTGTTAGTAAATATTGCACACAAAATCTCCAACAAGTGTGTCACGCGGCAACACTCGATTGGTGCGACAGTACATTCAGCAAACGAATTTCACTTGCTCATTTTGACAGCAGAACGCATTGAGAAAGCACTTGCGTTGCCACATCTGAATGCACTTTATTAACAAGGCATGTTTGGCATGCCGCTAAACTGGTGTTGTTGGTGCAGTTGGTGCCGCATCTGTGGCAGATGCTAGTGTTGCCGCTGAATGGGTTTCACGTTTTCGTTCAACGAACTTAACGTAAGAGTATGGGCTTTGGATGGATACGTCTACATATGTATGTATATATGTACGTATGATTCAATTTGCACACTGCAGCGTTTTACAATTAATAGATCAGCAAGCGTGGGGCGAACTTCGGGAAACACCCTGCCTGTGTAAAAAGAAATCAGGCAAACTGGTAAAACAAAAGCGAAACTCGGAGGCCACCAAACTGGTTAAAGCGCCGCAACTTGGATAAGCACTTTGGCCTTTTTACATTCAGGCTGTTGTAAATAAAATAGTGGAAGAACTGGATAAAGCGCCGAATAGGTCATCGTAAATGTCAATTTACTCAATAAAAACAAAATAACTTTGCTGCACATATCGTGAGACGCCAAAGAAAAATATCGAAGCATTTCAAGCAATATTTTTTATGTTTTGCATCTAAAGCGAGTATCGACGAGGGCAGTCTGATTGATGAGTGTGTTAACATAAAAAGGAAAAATAGTTTTTTCCTGGAAGATGTTACTTTTCCTTGACAGCATCGATTAGCTCTCCGTCGCTCCAAAAACTAAAAACTGCAAAACATCCCTGATCCAAATTTCTCTTATGAATTTCCACCAAAAATTAACTTATGTACTTTCTTTACGAGATTATGACGCATAAGGAACGTCGGCAAGATATCACCTTAATGTATTTATCAGCCTGATCTAGTTTTCTATTTTGTTCTTAAATTTATACATACATATATTCAGCGGTACCACTTTGGAAATTATTACAAAATTTGGTAGAAAAAATGTGGGTTGGTAAAAAGGTAAATTTACTTTCCTTTTGGTAGTTTTTTGTAAAAGTAATTTGTGTGATCGTTAAAGCGTTCTAGCTTTATTTTTCGAAGTTATCTTTATATTTTGCCTCAACCTGAGTTTCGAAAAAAAATCAAACTGAAAATTTTTCATGCACCCATAGTCTGATTATAAATTTCTTTCTATAAGTATAGTCTATTTAATTCCATTCGTTTTCAAACGTGTGTCCTATTCAAAACTAATTTTACTGGAATCCAGAGGAGCTTTTGATTGCCTAAATATTTTAAATTATTCTTTAAATAAAATTGAAAAAGACAAAACTCAAAAGTCCAGTGGCAAAAAAATTTTAAATCAACGGGAGTTTTTCAATGGAAACTAAAAATTATTTACCCAAAAATTTTCTAAAAATTTAGAGATATAAGTTCGAAATTTTGGCGAAAATTTGTTGAATTCTTCTAAACTATAACTTTAATCCTTGATTTTTATGATTTTGGTGAAAGCGCAAACAATATTCTTTTACAAACAGAAAAAAATTAAAAAAAAAAAAAAACGAGAAGAAGCCATTAGTATGATCTCAAATATCATATCATTGGTTAAATAAAAAGCTCCTTAATAAAAAAATTTTATTTTTAATGAAATAACTCAAAAAGACAACAAATCTATAGTTTTTATTAAAATAACTAAAAAAAGTTATTGGTAGATATTTTCAAAGTAAATGGTAAGTATTTTTGTTCGTCAGTGACAACCCTGCATACATCGCATACACAATTCAAAACCCTATTAAAATTCGCGAAAAGTCTTAAGTGACTCATAGCAATCGGCCAAAATTTGATATCAGTAGGAAGCAGAGCTCTCGATTTTGTTCGCACATTTTCAAACAGCCCGGGTATATAAGCAGCGAGTACTCGCACACTTGTTCAACGCTCATTACTCGAAAATTTTCGAGCATGAGCTCGAGCAATTCGAGTTTTTTCGAGTAATTTGAACAATGTTTTTTTATTATATTGACATTTTTGGTAGAAACTTTTTAAATTTTTCAATTATTGATATATAATGCAAGGATTGTTACATTGATATTTAATAATATAATTTATTTAACATGAATTAGAAAGCAGCTGCTGACAAATACAATTTACAAATTTTCTTTTGTTTATGAAATTGTTCAAAAACTCGAAAATTTTGAACAAACATTTGAGCAGTTGAGCAATGAACGAGTTTCGAGCGAGCATCGAGCTACTCGCATTGCTCGATACCCGGGTATCTAGAGCTCTAGTAGGAAGCAACCAGTCTATATTTGTATTAATACCAGCCAGATTAATCTACCCGAACCTTTCCAAATAGTAAAATCCGAGGATACTTATATGACCAATTGTTTATAAATTACCGGAACCGGAACTAAGAAGTTTATTTTCGGACGAGGTAAAAACCGTACTGGATAAAATATATCTTTGAGTAGGATACAATTCGTTCTTGGAATATTCTCCGAAGCTTCAAATAAAAAGTACTTAAGAAAAAATTAGAGAAATAATTCGTAACGAAATCATTATGCAAACGTCGGTGCTTTTACGAAATTCCGGAAGCAGAAACATCTTTAAGAAATAGTACCGAAATTTCTTTACGAGTTCATGTCAACCATTTCCAAGGATTTTCAATGAAGACAGAATTCGGAACCAACTACCGATACTTTTAAAGATTTCGTTACCATTTCGGTAGCTTTGGTTTGGAGGGAGTTTGCAGGAAGTATTAAATTTTTCTCAATAGGGGTATTCACAATAGGGGTGTTGTAAGTGTCATATTGTTGCATGTCGTAAATTTTAAAAGCTTAAATAATTGGTGAGAGGACTCGAAGCCACAACCAACTATTTTTTAACACTGAAAATTAAAATATGACTTTTATTATACATTAACATTTTTAGCAATTTAAAGTTTACAACATGGAACCATAAGATATCGTTGTGAAAACCCCGAATTTAACTTTGTATATACATACAACATCCATACATATTCCTCAGTTCAGGGCTGTGATACTTCCCAATTCAGCTGAAATTGGTGCTTTCGCATCAAAACAACAAGTGCAAAGCCAGCGTTATTAATTTATACTATATTTGATATTCATGACTTTGCATTTTAAATTATGTACATATTTACAAATGCCCCAATATATACATATACTATATGTATGTACATAGGTACCTGAATTCTTATGAATGTATGTATGTAGGTATGTAAATGTATAGCAGTTATTGCAGTTTTTGCATATGAATTTACCTATATATATGTATAGCCATATATGTATGTATGAATAAACGTAATTCCATGCATGTACCTGTACATATGTACATATTTATATGTAGTATGCATAATGTGACCAACTATTTCATAGCTCAAGGCAGTGCAGGTTAGGTTGGGTTAGGTTGGGTTAGGTTAAAGTGCTTGCCTGGGCTAGGGGCACACTTGCAGAATTAAGAGATTGTTCTTGGTGATACCGCGAAACTAAACGGGACTCTTAATTTAGTCGTCGAAACGCTGCGAGCCGATTACCAAATTTCGAATGCGGCTAATTTCGATCCCTGAGAGCTCAGTGTAAGTTACGAAGTGCGAGCCAAAATGCTTCCGTCTTAGCCTCGCGAAGGGTCGGACAGTCTAAAACAAAGTGTGGAGATGATTCGACCTCATCTTCCTCTTGACAGCTGATACAGAAGCGATCAGTTGAAATTCCTAGTCTTACCACATGAATACCAATCGTACAATGGCCTGTCAGAGCCCCCATCACTAGCCTTTGAGAGGTATTGTGTTTTTCGGCACCTTTAACAGGGGTAACGATGGGTCACTCGTGTCTTACGCTGCAGAAAGGTTTTTAAAGTGCCCTATAAAAATATTTGCTGCAGCAGAGAATTGTGAGCTTTTCATTTTTTTCTGTCACAAAAGGAGCATCGCTTTCTTTTGCCCAACGTATTAAGTATTTAGTAGAGCATGCAATTTCTTTATTGCGAATTCGAAGTATTCGTGTTAGTTTAGCGCTCGCCGAGCTCACACTAGGCCCAACCATCTAAGAGTGTACCTGGGGTAACATTTTAGGGTGCCTTTCCAACGCAAGATCATCAGCTACACAATTTTCCGCGATATCCCCTTGACCGGGCAACTAAACTAGCCTTATTAAGAAGTTCTCCGACGCGATGGATAGAGACGTCAGGCATTCATTTACCGATTTCGAGTGTACCATCACACTCGCTTCCTTGATGACTTCCCCCTGAAAAACACTACAGAAGTCCGGAAGTCTGAACATAGTTTTGGTGGAGAGTTTCCGACAGAAGAAACCTTCACCAACCCTGTCTCCAAATTTTGATTTGTCCATGAAGAAGTTTACCGCTCCCTTCTTCGAGTAACCCCATCCTCTCTCGAAAGAAGATAGGTAGAGAACGAGCTTCTGGGATCGATTTTGGAGGCGCTGTAATATGTGTGTTCAGGGCGAAGACAAAGCCCTCTAGAACTCTAGAGTGTTACCACCCGGTTTCTCTGAGTGTAGTAGCAGTTCGTGCTGCGACAATTCTGTCTGCAATGTCCGCAGGCGCCGTGTTTAACATGACATTAAGCGCCAGTGTAGATGTGGTTCTTAATGATCGCCTAATTCTGATTTGGGTCATCCGCTGTAACCGCTCCAATTGTTAAACAAGATAGTCTAAATTATGGTTTCACAGACCTAATGAAATAATTTGTGCGAGAGACCTCACCCTTTACCGATAGCTCCTCTACAGCAGTAAAAGCCGACGCCTTTCTTACCCTTTTCTCAATGTTAGCCTTCCACAACAGCTTCCTATCCAGGATCAAGCCAAAGTACTTGACCCTGCCTGAGAGCCACAGACGAACACCCCCAGGCGAAGGCAGGTAACCTTGAGCCAGAATAAAAATATTGTTTAAAAATTGTTCCTTCACCAAAAGTTAGATATCATCTACATAGGCGATCACCCGACAACCTACTTTTTCCAGTTCCTCGAGAAGGTCGTTTATAACCGCAATCGAGAGCAGGTGAGAGAGAACACCACCTTGCGGAATGCCCCTATTGGTACTCCCCAAATCCGCCGCGACAGTTCTGTCACGAAGTACATCAGTTCAGAGCCCTTTGCAGCTTGCGGAGGTACGATGCCAGCGACTTGAAGAGTTTGAACGAATTTATGGCCCAAGCCATGTGGCGATCGTCCAGAAGATCGGATTAGTACAGGACCTGAAGTACAAAATATTGCAAAGAAGCACATTTGCGTGTACTGCGAAGTACGAAGTACAAGCGCTAAAAAAGAAGTACATACTCTACTTCCGAAAAAAAAGTACGATTGGTCACTTTAAGTATGCAGGTTGTTGGCATCTAAAATGTAGCATAATTTTTATATTTCCTAGTAGAGCTGTCAATGGTGCTATGTTCTGTCC